GCAGCAGTACTCGCGTGACGGCGATCGACAAGAAGAGGGAAAACAAGAGCAGCGGTAGATCGGTAATCGACGTGCTGCACGGAGCGCCCTTATCCGTCCGACCGTACATAACGGCGTCGTGTGACCGCATCGTCGGCACGACGCGCCCGGAATCGACGACGCCCAGGAATCGGCCGGTAGCCGGCAAGTCACGCCGCTTTCAGCACCGGACCCGTTGTCCTCGTCAGCCGCAGGAGCAACTTTACTACCCCCCCGCGTCGTGGGACACGCGCACACTACACTTCAGGAACTGTTAGCACCGATCAAAAGTAAGTCCAGTCCATCAATGGATCATACTCCACTTTTGTCATCTTCACATTGAAAATTTACTAAATTTACTAAATTTTAATAAATATTTGTTTAGATAGTAATGACTAAACGTTTACTTACAGTAAATAAGTATTTACTAAGAAAAAAATACTTAAATCAAATTAATGGATATACCACATAAATATATGTTTACATTTAGTAAATATTTAGTTAGTACTATTCAAACAAATATTTATTAAATTTATTAGTACATTTTTTCAGTGCATAATTCTTCATGTATCATATCTTCAGTTTCTTCAATCTTACTTTATTTTCTTCATAATTATTCAACAGTTTTAATAAAAGTCGAATTGTATTGTAAGTCGAAATTTATTTTTTACAGATTTAATTCATTAGAATTCATTGTCAAAATATCGACAATGTATTTTAACAGTGCCTTTAAAGATCCTATGTTGATGCGATTAAAGAAGCTCAATAGTATCACAGTAAATAGTAATATTATATTGCTTGTCAATTTAATTTGTGATGTTGAGTACTCCAACTTCAGTTTAAGACTGTATTTCAAGACCGATAAATAATTGGCATTGTAGTTTGCTTGAACAGGAAATCCATACGAAATATTATTAGACACCAAGATCCACTTTGATACATCGAATATAACCTTCTTCATTCATTTGTGTTTAATAATCTTGATTACGTTGCTATTGGTATTTTTTCTGAATTGTAAAATCCTCTTTTATCGAATATGGTTTTTTTAATTTGTTTGTGTTAATATCTTGTTCGTTCTTCTTTCAAGTATTTTTCCCATCCATTTTCTCTTATTTATTATTCTCATGTTACGTTTTTCACTGATCACGATTCACACTCGCAGGAAGGTGGCTCAGCTGTGCGCAGCCTAGACAATGTCCGAAGATTCTGACTCTATATCAGAGGAAGAAAGAAGTTTGTTCCGTCCGTTCACGCGGGAGTCCCTGGCAGCGATCGGGGCTCGCATTGCCGAGGAAGAGGCCAGGCAGAAAGAGCTTCAGCAGAGAAGAGCGGAAGGCGAGGTATGAACGCGGCCGTATGCGCTCGTCGCACGATCGCGCATTTCTAATTTTCTTCGCGCATTAACTACATCGACACATAATTCGTCATGTGCGTATATCGTAGGATACCCCTTAAGTAGCGCCAAATAAATTACGTGGTCGTTCCATGACGATCGCGTTCAGGCATTTCGATCCTTATTTCACGGAACTCTCGAAGAGATATTATTTGAACTGTAAAAAGATTATATTGGTAATTCCAAAAAATATGCTTTTGCGTAAATGTTCGTTGTACATACGCTTATTGTTCTCCAAACTCGTATCGCTATTTCGAGTTTGTTGTTATCCGTTATATAATTTTTGAGTTAGTCATATATTGATTAACGCTAGCGGATACATTTATCTGACGCTGCTAATTTTCCTGCCAGGCTCGATTGTGCAATCAATTAATTTTCCTGTGTAATTACTGTCCTCTTTATACATATTCATGTACATATCTACTCATACGAGACGAGCAATGTAACAATAAAAGTTTATAAGTCTTTACGAAAAAGATATAAGAACATTCGTTTAATTTGAAAATCCTATTGCACAACAGATCATCTCAGAGCTTTCAAAAATTCGTTTCTTTGATATCAATAGCCATTCATTGCGCCCACAGGCGCTTGTATAAATGTGCTAAATACAAGTTTTGCATTAAATGCTATTCATACTTAAGATTTTGTTATGTTCATTCTTATAAAATATCTTTATTAAAATTTTTTTTTAAGAACGTTTTAGCAAAAATAATATTTTTTTAATTAATAAAATAAATACGCATTCAAACAAAATAAATTGAGAATAAATAGAATATGAAATGGATAAAATATTTTTTCCAAAATCAGGAATTATACGATAATACTGCACTCGTTCAATGCGTTTGGTATAAAAGTAAATTGATTTGAATAAACAAACAATGGACATTAAGATAAAGGTACATCAATATTTAAAAAATTTTAGATCCAGTATTCTCTCTCAACTTAAAAATATATTTGTTTTCTAAGAGATACGTTCTTTAATATTTAATGGAAAGTGCAATTTTTTAAATTGATTAATCTTAAGTATGAGCTGCCTTAAGCGGCGTTTACAAGATTGAGATTTTAAGGCGTAAAATTCAAGCCTTAAGTCTTAAAGCCGTAAGAAATTGACCATAGTCGATTATTCTTCTCACATTCGATTATGATTAGTCAATTTCTTATATACGGTCTAAGGATTAAAGCTTAAGTTTTGCGCCTTAAAATCTCATTGCAAACACCGCTTTATCGTTAACCTTCCTATGCCTAGCTGTAGCGCCGTTTGCGAAACCTTTTCTTGTTCATTCTTTTCTTATATGTCAAATTGCGACAGGATTCATTTATTCCCCTTATCTATTCGATTATCCCTTTGATTGTTTGCTTGATTTATCTATCGCTAACGTAGTGAGAATGTAGCTATCTCTTTACCGACGACTATTTAACCCCATTTGTTTATACATACATATATCTGTCGTCGAGTAATGTATTGTGTATGTTACGAAAGATATGTCACGTACAAAGCTCGATGTCTGCAGTGCCACTTATCTCTCTGTGCCTACTTATACATAAATACCTACATATATATAAATATATATATACATATATATATTTTTTATGTGCGTGAATATATCGCTCATGTGTCGTGGCTACCTCCACTCTCTCTATCTCTCTCTCTCTCTCTCTCTCTCTCTCTCTCTTCGCCGCATTCGCGTTAACGAATAACGCGCGAGTGCCACGCGATGGGAGATGATTATCACTGTGGAGCGTATTAATGTAAATCCAACGAATGAGTCCCTTACATCCTTATAATTAGCGCTCCTAATTTTCCCCACGGCTATAATAGCAACACCGATAAAAGGAGCGGATTTATTTATTAACCTTCTTCCTCCTCCACGTCTATCGTTCAACATTGATCGCGCTGTTTGAAAATTACTTTCGCAAGAGGAGCAAATCTTCTCCTTTTACTGCCTCCTTGTATTATACTCCAACGATGAAAGGTCAAGGAGAGAACGAGAGAAAAGCGAGATCAAGACTGGATTATCATCGATCGTCTCTCTTTCTGTAATGATTCTTAACATCTAATAATGTATCCGCTTACTATTTTTGCATTTTTTAAAATTATATCACGAAGTTTGTGAATTAACTGGCTTATTTAGATGAATAAATTATTTCGTTCCCCTATTAATCGTGGCAGAAACTACTTTATATAATCAAACGTTTAAAAAATGTTTCACAACAAAATTTTTTAAAATAGCTTAAAATAATTGATAATGATACCAGTTCTAACTCTCTGTGTGAAAAGTCTTTTCGAATTCCTAGACGAGCCGTATTTTCCCAACGGTTAATCCAGTTCCGATCAAGCTTGATGTGCTTGGAAATCCTCTTTCCGGGTTACTTGATCCTGTGTATTTTCTTGTCGTATGTCTATGTCGTAATGTAACATTGTGTTTCTTCTCCTCCGTTTGTTGCCATCTATCTGTCCCCTTAATCTCTTTCTGTCTTTCTCTCTCTTTCTCTCGTTTTCTGTTTTTCTTTTCTAAAGTCACTCGATTCAGCTCTTACTTTTCCAAAAGCTACGGACTGAGCCATTTTATCGCGCCAATCCCCTTGTTATAGCATATTGGCATATTATTATTTTTCTACTCTGTTCATTCACCGATATCCCCCGTATTCTCTGTATCTCTGTGTGTAACGACTGTTTCTCCATTTCTCCAATTTCAGGGAGGTTATGGACGGAAGAAAAAGAAAAAAGAAGTAAGACGTTACGTCACGCTAAGTAATACCGCTCTCTCTATCTCACATCCGACTCTTCTACTTTACTAACATACACACGTGCACATGTACACGTCATATACGTCGACATACATATATATATATATCTCACACATATGTATATACACTGTGAACACGTGCGCAAACAGACACGCACACGATCTCACGATTTTTCCTCACTCTCGGCAGCATTTGGCCGATCGATCGATTAGACACGCGTCACTCACTCACTGCTCAACGCCACACATACGATACAATACTTGCTCACATTTTGTGCAGGGATTGAAAACAAGAATAATGAACTTTTCAGTTCCACGCGAATGTCGAAGAAGAATCGATATTGGTAATAGTCACGGACGATTCCACACTTTCGCAGCATACTCGAAGCTGCGTTTATATTGGAATTTTACACAGTCGATTTTACATTAATTATTGGTTTACGGATCATTTTAATTTTATTAGTTTCTTTGTTTGTTTGTTTATTAATCTTTGATATGTAAATCTTTTCTTTCAGAAAGTCATTTAGTACTGTTTCTCTTGAATTATGAAATGAAATAAAATAGTATATTTTTTAAAACAATAAAGAATAAATTGAAAGGCGATTGAAAGTAGTAACAGTGTAGTAATTAGAACACAAAAGATTTTCAGTAAATTTTTTAAAACGCTATCTTTCGCAAATTATTCTAGCGGCAATAATTTTTCTGATAAATTTATTCGCGACAATTTCGATAGAAACATTCATGATTTTTAAATCTGATTCTTTTTCGAATATCACGATTGATTAAAAAAAAACTGCATT